AAAGCTATGTAAAAATTCAATGGAAACGTCAGCTCAACTTATATCATTTGTGGGAAAATTCTACTTCTACTAGTGCTTCATCACCTTAAACGAAATTGGGTGAATGAATCTCATAGTCTTTTCTTGTTTTGGTTCTAATGACAGTCACTTCTCTGTACTTTTGGCTCACTCTTTCTCTCTCGCATTGAGACCAAAAACCAAAAACCCAAAACCCAAAATAGGCTCATCAACAAAACCAGACGAGTGTCCGACCTTGCACAATCGGAGTGATGGTTATGACATGTCTGTAGAAAGGAGGAGATAGGAGTCATCAAATCTTGATGGCCGAAAACAGACGTTCCTTTTTGCTGTACTAATCACTTTGAGTCATCACTGCGGGTTTCGTGCACAAACGAACACAAGCAGGCACATACACATACAGAGACAGACAAACTCACAGGCATCGAAGTTGACCTATGACCGTAGCTAACCAAATCACTTTATACTTGATCAAAGAGGCCAGATGTAGAGTGTGTATACCACTTTTTAGGGATTTGCTGGGGACTTTTCTTGACGCGTTAGCTGCGATTTTGTTGTCACGATGATGTTGGTCATACGACGCACGAAAGCTTAGCATCTTTTAGCCGGAATCGAGTGAGATTGCCTCGTAAACAACGTCAACAAGAATGTTCCAGTAAAGCCAATCGACGTCAGGTCGAGAAGAATTCGCCGTCGTCTTCTGGTGAAACCGAACTTCGAATCTCTCCACCCAACACTTTCACTCGAAATGTAAGTAAGAGCTAGTATGGCCACTGCATTAAGGCCTTGAATTTGCTATCTCATCAGTTCTTGGCAAGGCTAAAAGAAGTACAGAGGAATTGGCACATTGGAAAGGTATAGAAAGAGAAGATATTGCCTTCCATTCAGGAACGCTTGGCGCTTTGTTCCACATCGGGCTGTATCAAGTTTTCATGCTTACGTGGCAGCGTATTTGTAGAGGAGACCGGCTGACACCTTGAACATGGTAATTTGGCCACAAAACCGTAACAGACTGGACACGTGATAGATTTGTATGTAAGTAGGGTTTCGAGACTACCAGTAACTCAGTAATATGACATGTATTCACCCTATTTCGTCTAAGATGATGAAGGACTGGTAGTAGAATTTTCACACAATGATATGTGTCGAGATGACGTTTTCCATTGA